GGTAGTCTGTAGTAAGAGCAGTGAGTTCACTGGCTCTTGTTTTGAATTTTCTGTTTCTTACTTCTCAGCCCAAACTCACCTTAAACTCACTATGAAGCCCAAGCTGGGTCCAAACTCAATGGCAATCCTCCTGCTTCAGCCTCCCAAATGCTGAGATTATGGGCATGTGTGGCTCTCGGGGGTTCTTTTCCTACTTATGCCTGCTTACTGGTTTTCCCAAACCAGTACCTAGGATGAGTATTGCTTTGGAAATCAGGCCACTATCAAGGCCACCCCATGTTAAGTGGCCTGAAGCCACACGGGTTCTCAGCTGGTAAGACTGGCTTTTCTTTAGAATTTTCTTCCACTTGTAAGAAAATATGGATTCTAAGAAGAAAATAATCTATGTGCTATTAAAGACCCCCAAACCAGAAATGCTAGGCCAGATGTGGTGGTGCACACCTGCAATTCCATCCCATGATTCAGGTGCAGAAGGGTCACTACAAGTTTGAGGCCTGCATGCTTTACATAACGAGTTCTAGGCCATTCATGGCTACACAGCCAGACTTTGTCATCTGATACTAGAATAAAACCTCAAGTTTTAAGTTTTCTTTAATTGGCTATTCCTCTACCCAAAAGCCCTTTAAAAAAGGCTCAGATATATGTGTGCAACCAACTGTTAATTCCTATTCTGCAACTGACAACTGGGACATGTCTCGTCTGTGTTATGGAACATTTCTCATACCTACCTCAACTTGAATGAAAAAAAAAAAAAACCACCACTCGGGGAAATCCACCAGCTCTCCATGAATCTCATGTTCAAGAGTCTCATGTGCCCTTGGTCTTGCTTTAGGAATCTATGCTTATTTGTCCGTGCTTAGCTGAGACTATGAGAAGAATCTAGCTGGATAGACCTTTTCTCTTCCTAATCTCCTAAACAGAATGAAAAGACAAAAAGTGTATCCCAGCCACAGAGTGTCTGTTTAACATGCATATGGCCACTGGCTCCGTTACAACATCAAAACTAAAACTGTAATGAACACTTGGAAGAATATGCTTTTCCAACATGGTCCAACATGGTACTTGAGTGTGTCTTCTCACATGTTATTCATGAACAGCATGACTTCTTTTGGGCAAGCCTGTGGCTAAGTGATAGGTGAAAATGCAAAGAATGCAAAAAAATTTCAAACCTGATCTTAACTACATAGCTCAGGCTATCCTCTGTCTCAGTCTCCTCAACACTGGGATTATGGGTATGTAGCACAACACCAGCATCAAAATAATAGATAGATAGATAGATAGATAGATAGATAGATAGATAGATAGATGCATTTGGTCATTGTGATATTGTGAAATATATATTTGCTGTTTGTCTCCATTTCCTGGCTTACAACCTTTAAAATTCTTGGAAGTAATAAGTCTCCTTTGATTCTGGAATTAACTGACTGACCCTAGCTATCCCACAGCTTCAGTATAGAACATACTGAGGCGAGATTTGAGGGTTAGGTCAGTTAGCTTCTCCCCCACTCTCTGGGAGGAGGAAGAGAAAACTGAGTCGATCATCTGATGCCAGTGAGTTTACCGAGTGTGCCCAGGCAGTAAGGCTTCCTTAAAAACTCAAAGAGGCAGAGTCTGTGAAGCATTGAGACATTAGGAGGATCCCGAAGGTTAGCCTGCCCAGAGAATGTTGAGGCTCTGCCCCTTCTCTTTCACCTGACACCATACAGCTCTTTGTCCTGTTTTTCACCCGTATCCTTTGCGACACCACTTACAACATGTCAGTATGATTCAGCAGTGGCATACGGCAGCGCTATAGCTGTAAAGAAGTATTTGCTTGAATTCTGTGTGTCAGTCTAGTAAATTCATTCAAACCCAGGGAGGAAGTCCAAGGAACTCCCCCCCCCTCCACACACACACACACACACAAACACACCTTACATCTGGTGGGCCAGCAGCTCCAATTAAATAACCCACTGTGACTTAAACATCACTACAGGACTGAGCCCTCACCTCCAGGATCTTATCTGTGTATTCCTCACAGATGTGTTCTGTATTGTAACAGATGGTAGGAGAAGCAGAGTTTGCTTTTCTCTATACCTGCTCAGCAATGGTTATCTCAACAGGTATGTCCATCCTGATGGCCCCAACTCATCCCTTCCTAGAATAAGGAGACCATTATGTGTTCTTCTGTAAGATATACCCACCAGGGCTGCATGCAGACTGTTGTGGAGTTCTGCCAGAAGCACGGATAGCACAGATTCCTTTGGAATCAAGCCAAGTCAAGTTGACTGCCCCCATGGTTCCAGAATGGGGGGGGGGGCAGAGCAGGTGGAAGAGGGACAGAGGAGTCAAATGTCACCACCGCAATCTGTTAACATGTGATTCAAACCCAGAGTCTGCCGAGTCTGCCACTAGCCCCGTGGAGCTTTGATGTGTGGCCACTAAGGCTTGACTTTGTCCTTTCCAGTGACAGGGTGCCTCTCCCGCCACCCAAACTGACCACTTGCAAGTTCCAACAGCTGAAAGAAATGGCACTTGGAATAAACCGCCGAGGGCAGCTGGTGTGGCCTTGGGAGCTGGCTGGTCTTTTGTGGCTTTCCTCCAGCTGCCCAGCACAGAGCCGATGTCCCCTATATCAGACCTCAGTCGAAGCTGTTGCCATTTCAAGGGACAGAGGAAAGAAACATTGAAGGCCCAGAAAAGTGGGCGCTTTGTGTGTTTTGCTGGAACTGGGTTCTGAGAGTTCATAGACAAAGGTGACTTTCCATCCCCCAAGGGTGAGGCAATCAAAGTAAATGTGAATCTCACGGTGGTTGCTGCCTACATCGACAAGAGAGCATTTCCTGGGAACCTTCCTTGTACTCGGACCCTGCACCCTTTGCTGCGGGAAAGAGGCCAAGGACAATGTTCACAGTCTCTAGACAGTTGTTCTAAACTTCAGTAGGCAAAGAGGTGGGATGAGCCTTCTGAGCTCTGCATCCCCCAGAGACTCTGATTCCTTAGGCCTGGTGGCCCTGTGTCCATGACAACCGCATCCTGGTGAATAGGATGCAGGAGGCCCTGAGATGAGACCACCACTGAGAAACATTAGAGTATGATCTGGGTGCTGTCCTATAGCAGAAGTCGGAGACCCAAGTGGGGTGACAGCAAACACATAGCTCTAATGCAGCACCTGTGGGTGTCAAAGACACTCCTCGAGAGGGCAGGTAGACTGAATTGAGACCTGAGAACTTATGAGGAGAGCTTGGATTTCTGATAGGCAAGCTTTGTCTATAGAAAGCCCCCGGCTATGTCTTCAGTGGGTTTGTGATTCACCATAGCCCATACACACAGTAGACCTATGCAGAAAGAGATAGGGGCTAGGGTACCCCAGCAGACAGAAAGGCCACTTGCTCTCTGGAACACTCATAACCTAGCATCCCCAGATCAGACCGAGTTTGCAGTGTCACTCTGCTGAATTCATGTGGTTTCCTGCATCTCATATCTTAACATTTGTTAGAGAGAGAAAACGATGCTCTGAAACCCAAATACTGTGCTGCTCGCTCAGAGGCAGACAGCTGCTAACGAGAGTGACATGTGACCATCATTTCAACTGCTGCGCACAGCTCAGCTTCAGGAAGGAGATGTTTAGTAAGAAAGAAAGCCAAAACATTCTTCTCAATGGAAAACAAAGTTTGGGGCTCCACAGAGTGAAGGATCTTGTACTCAGTCAGTTACAGAGAGATAATAATCTAGGGCCTCGATAGGGGGGAAAAAACAGACAAGAATGTAAAAAAAACCTAGTCTTGTTTTATTTTAATATAAAATTCACGAAACACTCCTTTATTAATGTCGCAAGGGAATTAAATTATTAACTACAGAATCTGAAAGTCCTGCTTCACCAAAAGACAATGGAGATAAGAGTCCCCCAGGGGCTGGACCTTTTCTTCCACCCTGGCTAGGCGAATGACCTCTCTCACTCCCTGCAAATGATAGTTTGCCCCAGGCACACAGTAAATTCCACTGAAGAGAACAGAAGACTACTGATTATTTAATGGTACTAGATTGAGCTTTCAATTTGCAGGAGTCCAGGGAAATCATCCTGGCGCATACACGTCTACAAGCCAGTCATAGCAAGTGGTACCTTCTCCCGATGCCCTTGACCACATATGAGGATGAACAGGGCTTGCATTTGAGGAGTGTTTCCAGGAAATACCATTAATGAAGCCAAGAAGGCATCCTGAGAAAGCTGTATTTGTTTAGAATATCATTTTTATTTTTTTTAAATCATGTATTTAAAGTTTGGAATGTTTCGGCTGTAACTCGTAGACCAAGCTTGTCACTTAGGGGACCAAGACCACCAATAAACAGAAGGACTAAGGTGTATCAGGAGGGTCACCGTATTCCACAACAGCTAATTATAAATTCTAGAGAGAACTGGAAAAGGTTGCCAACATGAAAACCGACCAGAGTTTTTGAAGACAATACTAATCATCCTGACTGACTTTACACACTATGTATTTCTTTCAAATAACCACATTGTGCCACATTTTAAAAAATTACTCAATAAGCTTTTGCTGAAAATGATCTGGAAACTCCCGGTAACTCCACCTTGCCTGCTCCAATACTGATTACAGATTAAGAGTCTCACCAGGTAGCTAGACCTCCTCTGTCTGACTCATGAAACCCTTACACATTCAGCTAAATGGAACCCATGGACCACACAGACCATTCATTGTGTGGACATTTGTGGTTATGCTGCTACTATTGTTTGTTATTGCTTTGTTTCATTTTCCCTAATGACAAATGCCTTCCCTTGAGGTCTTATGATCCTGCAAAGTTCAGAAATAAACATATTAAGCTGATCTGGCTACCTTCTTGGCTCTCTCTCACGAAAACAACATTTCCAGGTATGTCTTAATGCTTGAGCTATGGGGGAAATGGCTACGCACCTTACTCACTAAAATATCCCAGCACGCCAAGTAAGGACTGACACACGAAACTGAAAACATGTAAATGCCAAGTCCATCGGGACGACTTACCCCAAACCATTCCTGTTTCAAGCTCATTTGCGCAGGCTGGAGTCCACTCTGGTTTGCTCAGGGTCTATAGGAACCCTACTTCTGAAGCTTCTCCACAGATTCTTTCATGCTCCTCCAGTATGCTGCAGTTTAACAAAAGCAAATACCAAGTCAGAGTGGAAATTGCCACTTCAAGCAGTTAGTGAATATGCAGGGGAAATCCCTGGGCTTTCTCAGTGTCTGTCTTCTAATGTCACACAATCATGTCACTCACCCAAAAGAAGCCATCACACATCGCATCTGCATTGGTACCCTAAAATACTGAAAAGGCAGACAGACAGACAGACAGACAGACAGACAGAAAGGAAGAAAAGAAAAGAGAAGAAACGAAGAAAAGAAAAAGAAAGGAAGGAAGGAAGGAAGGAAGGAAGGAAGGAAGAAAAAAGAAAGAAAGAAAAAAAAAAGAAAGAAAGAAAGAAAGAAAGAAAGAAAGAAAGAAAGAAAGAAAGAAAGAAAGAAAGACAGACAGACGTGCAGGAGAAGATAGTATTTTCCAGTAGGCATGTGCTTGCAAAATTTCAAGTTTACCCACTGTATGAAGGAAAGGAAGGCTTCTTCGGGTTTAAATAACTAGAAAGTAGAGGAAGTTTAGTTTTTTAAAAAATTACTCATTCTGCCTGTTAAAGTCTAAAATGGCCTAGTGTGACATTGTACACCTGCAATGCCAGTACCCAGGAGGTAGAGGCAGGAGGATCAGGAGTTTGAGGCCAGCTTGAGCTACACAGTGAGGTTCTGTATTTAAAAACAAAAAAAAAATACCATCTGGTTGTTGAGAAAATATTGTTTTCTTTTACATATAGTGCTTTAAGAATAGAAAAAAAATGATAGCATGAAAGAGAAAGGAAATTTCCATTTTGTACTACAAATGGGTAGTTGCTGGGTTTCCCCCACCTGCCTCTAGATAAACCTGATAAATACCATCTCCTCCCAGGGTGGAAAGCGCCAGGTACTGTACACAGCAGATACGAAACCAATGCTAAAGGTGTGCACGCCTCTTCACCTGCCTCTGAACAGCTGATGATGTCTACACGAGAGTGGCCTGACGGGCAGCCATTCTGAAAAGTTCTTTTCCTGCCTTAGCTGCATTAACGTTTTCTTGTCCCCAGCTCTCCAGTTTCCCCTGAATCATGGTTAAACCCCACTGTTTTGCTTTTTGACAGTGTCCACTTGAGAGTTTGGAGGCCACCTTCAAAGGAGTCTGCACCCTGATTTGTATGTTTTAGCTTTGGAGAGTAGTTGTTCTCTATCTAGTTTGAAAGCCTGCTGGAGGGTTGTCATCCACTGGGGAGGATGAGGGTTGCATAATGCTACAACTGTAATCCCAGGTGTTGGAGGAGAGATCCTGATGACAGATGTTGCCTCCCCTCTGCCCTGCTCTTTGCACTTCTAGAGTGAGTGTGTTCAGCCAGCATGTAGACAGGCATCAGAGCTGAAGACAGTCTCCAAAGCAAAGACACAAAGACCAGGCACGGTGGTGCATGGCTGTAGTCCTTATAGCCAAAAGATGACCACAAATTCAAAGCTCATGTAGTCTACACTGCAAGTTGAGAGTGGCCAGGTGTATATAACATAGCCTACCTCAAAACAGCAATAACAGCAACGGGGGTGGAGGGGTGGGGGAGAGAAAAAGAAAAAGAAAGGAGGCTCTCAAATGACCCATATCTTTGCCTGGAACTTGAATAACAGATGGTCACAACACAAAATGGAGGCAACCTGGGACCTAGGTCCCCAACCATCACATGAAAGGACCCCCTTACCATGTTTCAGCTTTCATGTTTTGGTCTTTATATCATGGCTCTCCACGGGCATAGTATGGATAAAATTAGTTCTTCCCTAGCCAAAGAGTTGGTTGTAGGGTAAACAGATCTGCCTTCCACGATCAGTTTCCTATGTAGAATATTAGTAAGCTGAGGCAATCAATGCCTAGCCACCGCATGAATGTTAAACTCTACAATTTTGGGTTCTAGAATGATCAACACAGCTGTCATCACATGACCCACTTATAGGCGAGGTAACCTTTCACGCATCCCTAAGTCATTGGGATAGTTAATGTTTTTGTTTATTTTATTGAGACAGGGCCTCCAGTATTCCTTGAGCATACTAGGTAGCTAAGGGTCACCTTGAACTTTTGATTGTCCCCCTCCTCCACCTCCCTAGTGCTGGGATAGCAGCTTGCTCAGCCTATGCTACACCAGGGACAAACACATTGTACCTCGCACGCTAAGCAAGCCCTCCACCAAGCTCCGCCCCTGGTCCCATCACTGACCCTTTGAAAGACTCAGCAAGTTATTGCTTTATGGAACAGTCAACATTTTCTAAGAGGACTTCTGCGGGGGGGTTAAATTCAAGCAGACAATTCCTACCATTGAGAAGCAGACAGTGTCGGGTTCCTGGTAAACATTCCGTCAAGTGAATAGAGTTTAGTACCCATATAGTGCACAGTCTGGACATGCATCTGCTGGAGAACGAAAGTGTCCTTCTGTTTTCTAGATGATATGAACACCCACAAAAAGTGGGGTTAAAAGGATGCCATTCATTTTCTCAGCAGCTTTCATGAACGATGTCTCACCCCCACCTTGATATATAGTACTAACAAAGTGACACGAATCAAGATAAGCCTGCAAATTCAAAGAAAAACTGTCCTGGTAAGACAGAATTTGGAGGGGAAAGGAGGCCTTTGGTCTCTTTATTCGCTGGTAGCAAACTTTTTCCCCCTTGAAACTAAAGAGAGCTCCCTGTTCTTGTCTTCATTGCTCCCAGCTTTCTCTCTGGCTCTTAGAGGACTGGACAAGATGTCTTGCAGCTTCATTTGACTTCTATAGAGCATCTGCTGTCCAGCCTGGAGAAAGCCATGCACATCTTACAGATACACAGGAAGTGAGTCAGAACTATGACTAGAAGTGGGGTTGAACTACTTATGTCAATTGACTCTTTTTTTTTAAATTTTTATTTTATCTTATTTTGAGACATAGCCTGGCCTTATAGTCCAGGCTGGCCCCGATCTTCTCGTGTAGCCCAGTATGTCTCCTGATGGCTGGCATTGCAGGGGTGCTGTGCTCCCCTCGGCGCTCTTTGACCTCCGAAGGATGTCAATCACTTAATGTGATAGGAAGTGGCTTTGAACCAGAGAAGCTTAGCAGAAGCCTCGCATTTCCATTAATGCAGAGAGCTCAATCAATGTTCAGATTTGCTTTTGTCTTTAACAAAGAAGTTCATTTCCGGATTACGTTCCTGTCACCTGTCTATGAACAAAATCCATTTGTGCGTGGGGAGGTGGTTGGGGATTGGGGTAGTGGAAGGAGATGTTTTCTGGCTGCTGAAGCCACGTGTCTAGAGACTGGTGAAGCAGTGCTCATGTATTTACAGAGGGGAGAGAGAGAGAGAGAGAGAGAGCGAGAGAGCGAGAGAGCGAGAGAGAGAGAGAGAGAGAGAGGGAGAACTCATCCAAGGGGACAACAATTTCCATTTTTCCTCATCACATGGGGCATGGAGTTAAAAATGATTCATTTCGTGACTCCCAGTTGATCCCCAGTTATAGCCACTGTGATTGATAGCAAAAGAAAGCCACCAGCTGGACAAGGGGCCCATACCTACAGTCCCAGAAAGCACTAGGGAGACGGAGGCAGGAGGATGCTGTGAGTTCCACTTAGCTCCACCGGGGCTACATAGTGAGCAACAAGCCAGTTAGGGTGTTACTATTTCACCTTGTCTTAAAAAAAAAAATCGAAATGAAACTATAAAGACAAAAAAAAACAACTCTGAAAACTTTATGAATCTCCTTTGAAGCAAAAATTTCCTACGTCAGGGCTGAGGTATAGCTGAGTACATGTCATAGATGGAGGAGGCTCTGTCCTGTATCCTCAGCATGGAGTCTTCAAGAAAAAAGAGATGTGTTTGTATCGCTAGGGCTGCAATCTGAGGCTTTATGCATGCTGGTGAGTGCTCCACCATGTAGCCATGCCCTCAGTCCTAAGACAAAGGAAATCCCATCTGCTTCCTTTCTTCATCACAGCCTGCGCTAACCCTGCCACCAAGAAGCAGGCTTGAATCTAATCTCGCTGGCAATGTGTTCTTGTCTGCTGGCTGGGGGCACTGTCAGCACAAAATAAAAGGGCTGGACCAGAAGCCTGGTTAGTTCATTGCCTGCCCAGCATACTCGAAGCTCCGGGTTCTGTCCCCAGTAGTGCAGAAACTGGATATGGTGGCACAGGCCTGCAGTTCCAGCACTCAGAAGGTAGAGGCAGGAGGACCAGAGTTCAAAGTCATCTTTGACTACAAATTGATTCTGAAGTTGAGCTATGACAATGAGATTCTTTCAAGAAAATAAAGAAAGCCAGCAACAGAACAGAATATATATACATAGCCAGAGTCCCAAGCCTGGAGGTGGGGTGGGGGAAGAAGCAACATCAGCAGGCATATTTGAGTGTGTGCCTAGAGACTCTGAGTATGTAAAGGGCTCTACAGAATGCTTCCCAATTCCATAGGCATTTGGGGGATACTTTTCTGGAGGGTCATAGTCAGGGGGATGCCATGGCAATATAAGCCAAGCACAATAACCTTGCTATTGTGAGGCCTGTTTGCCGACCTTGGTCTGGCTAGATGGATTTTTCAAATAAAGTAGTCCCAGCCTCCTACGCAGAATTGGTTCCTAATGTATCAGGAAAATTCCCTAAAATTAACTGCTACTTATAATTCAGGTTGTTTTACATATATCTAAATATTATAATGGAAACATGATCTCTATAAATGCAACTGACCAGGAAGACGCTGGCGGGTGTGCATAATCCGAATTCAAGGACGCAGGGTGTGAGCCACAAATCACAGCGGGGGGGGGGCTGTCAGAAGCAGCCTCCAAGGGGCCTCCGGTGGCTCTACGTCTTGACAGTCACAGCTTGGTGACACTTGAGTGCAGATTAGAGTTAGTGACTTGCTTCTGAAATGTAGAGTGAACAAAAGTAATGGGACACCATATCCAAGCTGGGGCACTATGGTTTGTGTCTGAAATAGACCCCATAGGTGTGTGTGTGTGTGTGTGTGTGTGTGTGTGTGTGTTTGCACACTCCATCCCCTGCTGGTGGCACTG